AGGAAAGAGAATTACATCCAGTCTTATTGTAATGGAAAATCAGCATTTGAAAATAATGTTGTGAACTATAGCACACAAACCACAAGGTAACAGAGAAAGGGAGGAGAAGCCTTTGTCAAACATTTCTTCTTTTCATAAATGCTTCCAACAAGAGAACCACATCTGCATATGCTTTGAGAATGAAAAATTGTCATTCAAGGTTTCTAAATAAAGAGAAGCTATGATTCATTCACAAATGAGATAGAAAAAATGTTCTCAGACCCAAAGGATCCCAGAAAATAGACCATTTAAACTTTTGTGAAAAAATTGAGGACGCATTCTAACCAAATGAGAAATGAATCAAAATAACAGATGAAAGAACTGAAAGAATATGATGTAAATAAAATGAGTAGTGAAAAATGAAATTCCTAAACCTTAAGGCTTTTTTTTTCAAATATTGACCACAAAATATAGTCAAGGAATATAATATACATGTTAAAATTATTCTTGAAAAGGGAGATTAATAAAGTAAAAATAGTTTGTCAATAATAATTTAAATTTCAAATTTGAATTGAAATTCAAATTATATTGTGAAATATAAAGGAAATAGGAAATTGGGAGTAAGAGAGTTGAGTCAACATACATTGGGGTTTAAATAAATACCATTTCATGACTGATATTAATAGATGAGTAGACAGAATATATAACTTTCTAATCACTGGAAAATAAAGGAAAGAGTATATGTGTAAAGTGTTTATTAAAAAACTTATTTTTCATTAATACATTTTAGGAATTTTTCTGAGTTTAAATATTTTCTTCGATAACACTACAGAACATTCTATTTAATACTCTTAGAGTATTTTAACTTACATCCTATATTTAATGTACTGAATGTGTTGTCAAACTTTATTCCAACCAGTTTATATTACTTTACAGTCCCACTAACAATGACTAAAAAGGCCTGTCACCTATATACTCGCTAACATGCTGTTACAAGAAAAATGTATCAATACTGTTGCATTTTAGCTCAGCCACTAAATATTTCATTCCTATAGGAGATTTTTCCTGACTTGAAATAAAAAGTTTAATTTTGCTTAAAAATGAGTTAGCGATATATTTATATGCTGAGTGTATTTTTCCCCACAAATAATTTAAAATCTGTCTTTTTAAATTTAAATTTAAATTTAAAATGCTAAACATTTTCTCATTTTAGCAAATGTGGTTTCTGGCCAAAATTACTGTCAAGTACCTTCAAAATATTTGGTAATAATTAATATAATTTTGTTTGATAAGACAAGAGCCCTTTGGTGAAAATACTTACAAAAATAATTGTGAATGTGGTTAGGGTAGATAATCACTTTGTAAGTGATATTTTTGATTTTAGTGTGGTCTATTAATATGAAGCATAAGTAGAATATATTAGGCTGCAAGTTTTTCAGAAGTCTGTTTTTATTTGTACCTCCTTGGAGGGAGGAATAAAATCAGGAATTACTATGTTTCCTAGAGCTCTTTTTTCTTTTAAAGTGTCTGCTATCATTCTACCACAGTCTTTTCTTTTTCAGGGAAAATGTATAAAAACACATAAAGAAGGCTGAGTGCTGAAGAACTGATGCTTTCGAACTGTGGTGCTGGAGAAAACTCTTGAGGGTCCCTTGGACAGCAAGGAGATCCAACCAGTCCATTCTAAAGGAAATCAACCCCAAATATTCATTGGAAGGACTGATGCTAAAGTTCCAATACTCTGGCCATCTGATGTGAAAAGCCAACTCATTGGAATAGACCCTGATTCTGGAAACATTGAGGACGGGAAGACAAGGGGTGACAGAAAATGAGATGGTTGGCTGGCATCACCGACTTAATGGACATGAGTTTGAGCAAACTCTGGGAGATAGTAAGGACACGGAAGCCTGATGTGCTGCCATCCATGGGGTCACAAAGATTAGGACATGTCTTAGCAACTGAGCAACTGAAAAACAACAAGATGATATGACACAACAAAGAATGTGAAGAAAAAATTAAGGCTCTCAAATAAAAATAAAATCAAGCAATAATATGGGTAGTGGAATAATATTACATTAGTTTCAAGTACACAGCATAGCAATTCAATACTTTTATAGATTATATTCCATTCAAAGTTATTGCAAGATAAGGTCTGCAATTCCCTGAGCTATATAATATATTTTTGTTGCATATCTATTTTATGTACAGTAGTTTGCTTCTCTTAATCTCATACCCCTATCTTGTGTCTTCCCCTTCTTTTTTTCTGTTACATCCTCTAGGTTTTTGTTTTTGTTTTCCTATACCTGGGAGTCTGTTTATATCTTACTTTATATGTGTTTTATTTTTTTAGATTCTACATATAAGTGATATCCTATAGTATTTGCTTTCTCTGTCTTACTTACTTCACAGAGAATAATATTCTATAGGTGCATTCATGCTATAAATGTCATTATATCATTCTTTTTTATAGCTGAGTAACATTCCATTATATATGTATATATACCACATCTTCTTAAGCCAATCATCTGTTGATGTGCACTTGGGTTATTTCCATATCTTGGCTATTGTGAATAGTGCTGCTCTGAACATTGGGGTGCATGCGTCTTTTTTAGTGTTTTCATATATATATGTATATTTTTATATATATTCAGGGGTACAATTGCTGGATCATATGTAAGTTCTAGTTTTAACTTTTGGGAAACCCCCATATTGTTTTCCACAGTCGCTGCATCAATTTACATTCCCACCAACAGTGTAGCAGTGTTCCCTTTTTTGTACATCCCTCTAGCATTTATTATTTGTACGATTTTTTGATGATGGCCATTCTGACAGGTGTGAGGTGATATCTCATTGTGGTTTTGATTTGCATTTCTCTAATAATTAGTGATGTTGAGCATGTTTTCATGTTCCCGTTAGTCATTTGCATATCATCTTTGGAAAATTTCTGTTTAGGTCTTCTGTTCATTTTCTGATTGGCCTATTTGTTTGTTTCCTTGTTTTAATACTGCGTTGTATTAGTCATTTATATATCCAAATATCCAAAGGGTTTTGGATATTAACCCTTTGTAGGCCCCATCATTTGCAAATATGTTCTTTAGTAGTGTGTCTGTGTTTCTTCCTTTTAGCTCCTTTCTTTTTGTGTATCTATTGTAGGTTTTTAGTTTGTGGTTACAAAGTTGACACTGACCTGTAACTACATCTACTTGTTTCAATTAAAAGATGCTTGCTGTTTGGAAAAAAAAGCTATGACCAACCTAGATGGCATATTAAAAAGCAGAGACACATTGATGTATGGCCAAAACCATCATGATATTGTAAAGTAATTATCCTCCAATTAAAATAGATAAATTAATTAATTAAAAATAAAAGCAGAGACATTATTTTGATGACAAAGGTATATCTAGTCACAGCTATGGTTTTCCCACTAGTCATGTATAGATGTGAGAGTTGGACTATCAAGAAAGCTAAGTGCTGAAGAATTGATGTTTTTGAACTGTGGTGTTGGAGAAGACTCTTGAGAGTCCCTTGGATTGCGCCAATCCTAAAGGAAATTAACCCTGAATATTCACTGGAAGGGCTGATGCTGAAGCTGAAGCGCCAATACTTTGGTCACCTGATGCGATGAACTGGCTCACTGGAAAAGACCCTGATGCTGGGAAAGATTGAAGGTGGGAGGAGAAGGGGAAGACAGAGGATGAAATGGTTGGATGGCATCACCGACTTGATGGACATGAGTTTGAGTAAACTCTGGGAGTTGGTGATGGACAGGGAAGCCGGGCGAATTGCTGTCCGTGTGGTCACAAAGAGTTGGACACGACTGAGCAATGAACTGAATTTCTTTCAAACAGATTGTCATTTAAATTCAAACAAATTCGAAAAGATCTATACTTTGTATTCCCCTTTTCTCCCCTTTGTGGTTTTGAAATCATATTTTCCATGTTTATCCCTTAGTTGTTGATTGTAGTTACTGTTGCTTTTATAATTGTCTGTTAATTTTCATAGTGGCTTATTTAAGCAGTTAATCCCCAGTGTTTGCTATATAGTTGCCTTTGCTAGTGAGGTTTTCCCTTTCCTGTTAAATTCTTATTTCTTTTCCACTTAAAGAAGACCCTTTAGCATTTCTTTTAGAGAAGGTAGAGTATGAATTTTTTTTAGTTTTTGCTTGTCTGAGAAGACCTTTATCTTTCTATTCTTAATAGGAATCTTTCTAGGCAGGATATATTGTTTCAGGTTTTTCCCTTTCAGCACTTTGAATATATCGTGACACTCCCTTCTGGTCTGCAAAGTTTCTGCAAAGAACTCAGCTGATAGACTTATGGCGATTTCCTTATATATGACTCTGTTTTTTTCTTGCCAACTTTAGTATTCTCTTTAACTTTTGCTGTTTTAATTATGATGTGTCTTGGCGTGGGTTTGTTTGGATTCATTCTGTTTGGAATCCTCTGTGTTTTCTATCTATTTCTTTTTCAGGTTTGGAAAGTTTTCAACCATAGTTTCTTCAAATACATTTCGATCCCCTCCTCTCTCTCTCCTCTTTCTGGGGCTCTTACTATGTGAATGTTGGTGCACTTAATGCTACCCCACCCAGAAATCTCTTAGACTGTTTTCATTTTTTGAAATTTGCTTTGCTTTTTGCTATTCTGATTGAGCAATTTCCATTTTATTCTGTCTTCTGGATCACTTTTGCATTCTCCTGTATCACTTAGTCTATTATTCATTTCTTCTGATGTACTTTTATTTTTTCTTCAGAAATTAGTTCTATAAAATAAAATAATTCCATTTACAATCTTGGTAATCCTTCTGATGTCTTTTTATGCTAGCTATTGACTTTTTCATTTCTGATAGAGTCTTTGTATATTTCCTAATTCCTTGTTGAAATTATCAATGTGTAGATCTATTCTTTCTCCTAATTCAGTTAACATTTTTACAATCAACACTTCGAATTCCTTATCTGATAGTTTCCTAATTTTTTCCAGGAGCTTTCTCTTGCTCTTTCATTTTGCCTAACTTTCTCTTCCTCCATGAATTTAGGTCAAACACTTACCTATTGTGGTCTTGAAAGGATGTCCTTAAGTGGATGCTTTCCTACAGAGACTGTGTATTCCCAGTCCTCTGGTGAGAGAGCTGGATTTGATGCTGGCAGTTGTCCGTGTGGTGGGGGGGTAGGGCTGGCGGGGGAGAGGCTGAGGCCAGAGCCGGGTGTGAGTGCTGAAGCCAGTGGGGCCCACGTGAGCTCTCGGCTTATGCTGGCCACAGACAAAGGTCTGAGCTGTCCCCACTGCACCGCCTATGCAGGCGCTGGTGTTTGTTTCCCTCAGTCCACTCACACGCAGCCTCAGGGGCAGGTCCCGTTTGTCCCTCCCAGCCCTCTCCCTGTCCCCAGGCTCCAAGGCACCCCACGCTGTGGACCACACTGCAGGGTGGGTGGGCTCGAACGGCCCCTTGGTGTGTATCAGGAGGCGAGCTGTGGCTGCTCTCAGAAATCTGGGCTGCGGTGCTTGAGTGAAGTGCCAGCAACGACAAGCACCTACCACTCAGGCTCAACCCCAGGACTGGGTGACCTCTGTGTCCTGGGGTCGACTCCTCCTTGAAAGCAAGCCAGTACAAGCTCCTCACGAGTGGAGTCCAGGCTTCACACAGCTCTCCTGTTAGTCCCAGTCATCCTCTACCCCTCCAGGGGAGCTTGTCTCCTTGGTGTAGGACCCCAGGACTGGGCGCCAGCCCGCGGCTCTCACTGCTCACTCCTCAGGGCAAGTGTCTACCCATGTCGTCTCTCTTTTCCTCCGGGTCCCCTCCCAGGGGCACAGATCCTGCCCTGATTGCCTTCTTCCCTTCCTACCAGATTACGTGTTTATCTTTCTTACAGCTTTGGATGTACAGCAAACTGTGGAAAACTCTTAAAGAGATGGAAATACCAGACCACCTTACCTGCCTCCTGAGAAATCTGTATGCAGGTCAAAAAGCAACAGTTAGAACTGGACATGGAACAACAGACTGGTTCCAAAGAGGGAAACAAGTATGCCAATGTTGTATATAGTTGCCCTGCTTATTACATATGCAGAGTATATCATGTGAAATGCCTGTCTGGATGAAGCACAAGTTGGAATCAAGATTGTTGGGAGAAATATCAATGATCTCACATATGCAGATGACCCCACCCTTATGGTAGAAAGTGAAGAGGAACTAAAGAGCCTTTTGACAAAAGTGAAACAGGAGAGTGAAAAAGTTGGCTTAAAACTCTACATTCAGAAAACTAAGATCACGGTATCCAGCCCCATCACTTCATGGCAAATAGATGGGGAAACAGTGGAAACAGCGGCAGACTTTATTTTTTGGGGCTCCAAAATCACTGCAGATGGTGACTACAGCCATGAAATTAAAAACACTTCACTCCTTGGAAGAAAAGCTATGACCAACGTAGACAGCATAATAAAAAGCAGACCACAAAGGTCCATCTAGTCAAAGCTATGCCTTTTCCAGTGGTCATGTATGGATGTGAGAGTTGGACTATAAAGAAAGCTGAACACCGAAGAATTGAAGCTTTTGAACTGTGGTGTTGCAGAAGACTCTTGAGAGTCCCTTGGACTGCAAGGAGATCAAACCAGTCCATCTTAAAGGAAATCAGTCCTGAATGTTCATTGGAAGGACTGATGCTGAAGCTGAAACTCCAATACTTTGGCCACCTGATGCGAAGAACTGACTGCTTGGAACAGACCCTGATGCTGGGAAAGAATGAAGGCAGGAGGAGAAGGGGATGAAAGAGGATGAGAAGTGTGGATGGCATCACCAACTCAATGGACATGAGTTTGAGCAAGCTCCGGGAGTTAGTGATGAACAGGGAAGCCTGGCATGCCGCTGTCCTTGGGGTTGCAAAGAGTCACACACGACTGAGCAACTGAACTGAACTGAACTTGGATGTACAGGAGTCCTGCCAGTTTCCAGTTAGTTTTCAGTGAGAATTGTTCCACATGTAGGTATATTTTTGAAGTGTTTATGGGGGAAAGAGCTTCAGGTCCATTCACTCTGCTATCTTGATTGATCTCCAATTGTAGATAACTTTTGATTATCTATAAATTTATAGGCATGAAATATAAAGGGTACTTTCATTGAACATCACAGATAGAACAGTAGTTTAGAGGACAGTTTGACAATAAATCAAAACAAACAACACCAAAAACATATATACATATTAGCCTAGCAACTCCACAGATACTCTTTATATGAGTATACTAGTAAAGCCTAAAAAAATCATCTGAATAGTCATTAACTGCATACTGCTTAAATACCCTGAAGGGTAATCTTATAGTGTGATATTATGTAGCCATCAAGAAGAATCAAGAAGGATCAACTGAAAATTATTATATTTTTACATCACATAAGTTGTTAAGAAAAGGCAAAACTATGTGGAAAACATGTGAAAGGTGAAATTATAATTAATGAAAGAATATACGAGATAATCTTTGTAACTTAACATGGAAACACTAATCAAATGACAAATTTATAATAAACGATGGATTTGATTTTACTTAGAATCAGAAATTAATATTAAGAAACAATAATATGCATGAAGTTAAGGGACAGATAAGAGAGTATTTTGAAGAGATATTTGAAATGTCAAAAATTCTCAAGAAATTAGTATCTTGGAAATATGGTACAAGGAGCTCTTTTTAAATCAACAGGAAAGCTACTTCAACCCCAAGAAGAAAATAGGCAAAGATGTAAATAGGCAGTGTACTTAAGTGGATATAGAACTATTTACAAGTTAATGAAATTCAAATTAAAACAACAATTAAATACCAATTTATCTATAAACCACCAAAAATCTAGGAAGCTCAGTGGTAGCAGGTAACATGTGGGTGTGGTAGCCCTCTGCTCTGCTGGTGAGAGTACAGATAGACATAGCAGCTCTGGAGAGCTACTTGGTGGTATTCAGAAAAAGTAAATATGTGCATTGCAGATAGATCAGCACTTCTGCTTCTAGGAAAAAATACTAAGAAAATTCTCATTCAGGTTCATATGTGGGCATGCATGAACTTCTGTTTTCTTGTTTTTTTTTTCCCCAGCGATATTTGTGGTGTGAGAAATTGGAAAGTATAAAATATTAGCCACTCAGTTGTGTCCGACTCTTTGTAACCCCACGGTCTGTAGCCTGCCAGGCTGTTCTGTCCATGGGATTCTCCAGGCAATAATACTGGAGTGGGTTGCCATTCCCTTCTCCAGGGAATCTTCCCAACTCAGGGATTGAATCCAAGTCTCCTATATTGCAGGCAGCTTCTTTACCATCTGAGCCATATCAAAATGCTTATCATTGGGAGTCAGCGGCTAGAATTGGTGGGTGTATACCATGAAGTGCCATGTGGCAGGGAGACAAAACCAGAAGAGATAACATACAGAAAAATAGATTCAAAGCAAGTACCGAGGAGGAAAAAGTAAGCAATTGAATAGTGTAACAATAGTATTATACCGTTGTACAGTTGTCATACAGTACTATTAAACTGAATTTGATCACTGGTAGTAGTATGTCAGGTCCTTAAGTTAAAAGTACCATTGCTATAGATAAATAAGATAATCAGTACGAGTGAAAATGAAGGGGAACTCAGCTGACATAAAGAATGTTTAGGAGATTTTAATGAAACTTACAAGTTTTCGAAAAAAGTAAGACATGTTTCTGTACCTTATGTATAACCATTTGTGAGTATTTTATGTGTGTTCATACATACACACATACATACACATATATATTTGTTCATATATACATCTATCATAGATACACATATACAAGTACACAAATATATAATGTGTATGTATACACATATACACATATACATTTATTACACATATACAAGTACACAAATATATAATGTGTATGTATACACATATACACATATACATTTATTACATCTATCTAAACTTTTGGATAATGTAAATTATTTGGCATGACTCTATATTGCTCACATGCATGCTTAGTTGCCTCAGTCGTACCCGACTCTCTGTGACTCTATGGACCATGGCCCGCCAGGCTCCTCAGTCCATGGGATTGTCCAGGCAAGAATACTGGAGTGGGTTGCCATTTCCTTCTCCAGGGGACTCTATTTTATATTTCTTTAAAAATAATAAGTGGCAAATATGAGAGTTCTTCATATTTAGAGAGTATTGCTTTCAATAATAGTCTTTGTGATGTTATTATTTGTTGATTTTAAAATCATACTTACTTATAATGCTCTTTAGAGATAATGTGAATGATAGCCTGAATGTGAATTAGAAGTGGAATTTTGTCAAATGAGTTTTACATGCTTTTTCTTATTTTTATAACTAAATTTATAATTTCACAGTGCTAAAGGAAATATGATACTTTGGACATTTTTTTTATTTTTTAAAGGATTTTTATTTAAGTATACCATAAATTCAGGAAAGTCCTCAACTCATAAGTGATCACATCAATAAATTTGTACAAGATTTTCACAAGTAACTGTCACCAAGATTGAGAAATAGAATTTCCCCATCATCACAGAAGTGTTCTCCCTGTCCCTATTACAAAAATAATCAAACTTTAAAGCTGTGTATTAGTTTTCTTTTTGTATAAAATGTATATAACTGAGTCATACAGTAGGTATTCTTTGATTTCTGCTTTTTTTTACCCATTATGTTATGACTACATTATTTGTCATATTCCATACATTTAAAATTCCACAAGTAAAGAGAATTTTTATTTTAGATTAAAATAAAATTTTATTTAAAAATTCTTAATAAAAATATATGTATACATGGTATTGATTAAAAAGATTCTGAGTCTCAGACTTCCTTGGTGGTCCAGGGATTAAAAATCTGCCTGCCAATGCAGGGGACACAGGTTCAATCCCTGGTCCTGGAAGATTCCACATGCCTTGAGCAACTAAGCCTGTGTGCCACAACTCCTGAAGCCTGTGTGTGCCCAGAGCCTGTTCTCTACAAGAGAAGCCCAGGCATCACAATTAGGGAGTAGCCCCCCCCTTCCCCACCTCCCAACACCCGCCCCCACCTTGCTCACCACAACTCCGCAACTAGAGAAGGCGCCCAGGCAGCAAGGAAGACCCAATGCAGCCAAGAATAAATAAATAATAATAAATGATTTTGAGTATGTGTCTGGATCTAAGGGGATAGTTTGTTTAAGCTAATTGTCTTGAAAAAACACAAAAATCTGTGATATATGCAAATATAAATATACACATACCATCTATAAATATAAATATATATTTACACACACACACAACACAATCCAAACATCCAAGGGCTATTTAGGTGATGAATATAAACTGGACAAGATTGAATTTATCCACATAACAAACTGTGTAGTAGTTTTTCAGTCTCATTACTGTATACTAGTCCATTGTAGAAATATGCTGTAGCTTATTTATTTTTCCCATTGATGGACTTTTGGACAGTTTCAGAGTTTGGGACTTTTATGGAAAATGTCTTGATGACCTTCTGAAACATGCCTTTTTGTATGTATTTGTATTGCATTTCCCATTATTATTTCTTATATTGATTCTTGTGCCTTTTCTCTTTTATTCTTGATCAATCCTGTAAGAATTTTAACAGTTTAAATGTTGTT